TGATGGCGATGGAGCTCATCCCTGAGCCCGAGGGCTCAGTTGCGAAGACCAAGGGTCAGATCTTGTTGCTGCCAGATGCAATCTTGATACATATTCTAGGATTAATCGGCGATGCGAAGTCCGTCTTCCAATGCGCTTTGGTATGCCGGAGGTTCAGACATCTGCTCCATAAGGTGGGTGGCCCGAACCTGGTCTATTGTTTGTTCCAATCAGTGGCCTCTTTCCTGCTTTCTCTTGTTTACTCTGTTGGCGTTGTGCTCATTGACTGTGTGTTCGCGTTGCTGCTCAGTGCTGCTGTCGATGGTCGCATGGCTGGTTGGACTTGGAACTTGGAATTTTGGTTGGGATATGGAATTTTGGGTTTTTTGGGTTTGGAAATCTGGTAATTTAGGATTTGGGACTGGAGAGGTGGGATTGTGGTGGTTTGGAAAAACTGGAGATTCGGAATTTTGGAAATTTCGGGATTCTAAATTTTGGAAATTTTGGAAATTTTGGGAAATTTTGGGAAATTTTGGGAAATTTTGGAAATTTTGGAAATTTTGGGAAATTTTGGGAAATTTTGGGAAAGTTGGAAATTTTGGAATGTCGGAATTTGGATGTTAATATTTTATGGGTTCCGAGAGGTGGGATTGGTGATTTGGAAAAAGTGGAGATTCAAGATTGGAAATTTTCAAATTTGGAAATTTTGGGACTCTAAATTTTGGAAATTTCGGGATGTCGGGATTTGGATGTTAATTTTTTTACAGGTTCCGACTCTGAGCTTCGAGATCAGTCGCAACAACGAGTCTTATGTGTCGTCGAGCTACGAGTCCCGCATCTCCTCGGTGGTTTGTCGTATGGCGGATCTTCGACGTCTGTCAGTGCATTGCTACAAGCGGCGGTCATGGAGCGTCAACGCGGTAGATTGCTGGCTTCGTCATTGCGGTTCAACCCTGCGCAGCTTCGTGTTCGACGTCAAGACCGTGTACGAACGCGATTTCCTCCCTCGCTTCTTCCACACCGTGTTTACTCATTGCTCTAATCTGGAAGACGTGTACGTCAACGTGAATTGCCTGTTCAAGCTCAGGGACCTGCAGTCGGCCCTGGTCAACGTCGCTCCGTTGACTTCTTTGCAATCATTGACTGTGCGCAACGTGAACTTGCCGAACGGCGACGAACTGCAACTTTTCGTTCAACAGTATTTCCCCAACCTCCTGCGGCTTCATCTAGAGCCGCTGAGAAATACCAAACGGATCGTCGTGCGATCACAAAAGCTAGTCGAGCTAACGATAGGAGGGACGTACGAGCAGAAGATAGAAAGTGTGCTGATAGATGCGCCGGAGTTGAGGCGACTGAGCTTGGCAAGGGTGGAGAGGTTCGCGCTGGAACATGGGACGTCGCCGGCCCGAGTCACGCTGGACTATTGTCTGAAGGGGAGCCCACCACCTCCTCACCAGCTAGTGGAGCTATCCATTCTCCTAAGGTCGCAGTTCTGGCCGGACTATCTTCAGCCGATCTATCACTGGCAGGCAAGCAGTCTAGCACACTTGCTAGCGAGCTATAGACACAATGTACAGCACCTGTACTTGGAGATCAACAAAGTCTTAGGCAGAAAGGTATCAGAGTACTACGAGGTGGTGGAGGCGATGCTAGGAGGAGAGTTCACACAGATGCGGAGTTTAGAAATTCGACTAAGTGACGTGATGAGTTGGTTCGAGCACTACGTGAAGGAGAAACTGGTGGAGGAGGAGGAGGAGGAGGAGGAGGAGGAGGAGGAGGAGGCATGGGGGGAGGAGGATGACGGAGGCGAAGAAGACGACGATGAGGAAGACGGCGATGAAGACGGTGAAGACGACGATGAGGCGGAGCATGCGGAAGAGGAGGAGGAGGAGGAAGAAGAGGAGGAGGAGCAGGAGGCAAAGGAGGTGGTGGATGTCTATGGCCAGGAAGAGGAGGGAGAAGCAGACGGAGGAAGACGACGAGCAGACAACAACAATGCCAGTGTGGCCGCCACCGACTTTCGCCTGCAGAAGAAGAGGAAGACGAAGGGGAAGACGAAGAACAACAACCATCCTAATGGTCTCATATCCCGATCCCAATTCTCCCTCTCGGAAGGTCTGGGCTTGGCGTCCCTCCTACGCTCTCCTGCAATTGTAGCAGCAGCAGCAGGAGGAGAAAGAGGAGGAGAAAGAGGAGGAGAAAGAGGAGGAGGAAGAGGAGGAGGAAGAGGAGAAGAGAACGGAGTCGCTTCGAACAAGGACCGCATGAAGATTGATCGGCGTCAGAAGGATCACAACCATTCATTGTTGATGGGTGGTGGGAATGGCAGGATGTCCGCATGGGGCTTCATCGATGCCCCTATGCTGGAATCCGTAGATTTGAGTGTGAGAGATGGTTCTCTTCTTACCATTAGGGTGATAAGGATGTTTCTCTCCTCCTGTCCGAACCTGAGGTCAGTTACGGTCAGGCTATTTTGGGAACTTAGAACGGATCCGGTCTTCTTTGGGACTTGGTTCCGTCTGCAGAGGCAAAACCCCCAAGTCTTCTTCTTGCTCTTATGTGTGGAGGAGGGAGGCGAGTGGGTGATTGTAGAGGGGGGGGAATCTCAAACTCCGACGGAAGAAAAGAGACGGTCAGGACTCAGCGGGGGGGGAGGCAACGGGGGGGGAGGCAGCGGAGGCGGGGGGAGGAGAATGAAACGACCGTACTCGTACAGCTTTCGAAAGCTAACGCGTAGCGCTCAAGCCGCGGCCAAATCAAACTCGTTGCCAGGGGGAGGGATGAATCTCCACATGGCCGCCCTCAATGGGAATGGAGGTGGAGGAGGAGGAGGAGGAGGAGGGGGTGCCATGTCAATGTCATCAATGTCATCAGCGCTCTCACCATCTCGGCTTCTCCTCTCCTCATCACGGCATGGCGGTCTTACCGCCATAGCCGGCGATGGTGGCGGTGTCGCCGGACCGGGGAAGATGGGTATGGGACTCAACACCCCTGCGAATGCCACGTGTACAAACGCCGCCACGGGTACCAACGGCAGCGGTGGCAGTACTATCTTCTCTACCCCCTCCCTCAACACGACCGTGACACCGGCCGCTGCTGTTGGCCTTACGGGCGCGAGCAGCAGGGCCATCATCAAAGCCACCCCTGCAGCAATCACGTGCTGACGAAAACTCTGCTTAATTAACACGATGACTCATGATGACGTCATCGTCATTGTCATGATGACACGTGTCACCCATCTCTACCGACGATAACAACGTAGTCTTCATTCCCATCATCATCATCATCATCACCATCATCATCATCATCATCAATCATCATCAATCAATCATCATCAACCAATCATCATCATCAATCAATCAATCAATCAATCAATCAATCACGTGTGATGTAGCTATCAATTCAAAATCAAATCAGTGAAAAGTGTTGGATTGAACAATCATCAGTGAACTAACAGTGAAGATTCAGTGCTGTTGCGGTGAGCAAGCTCCATCAGATCATCATCATTAATTACCATCTCATCATCATCATCATCATCATCATCATCGTCATCATCATCATCATCATCATCATCGTCATCATTATTATCACCATATCCCCCTCTTCTAAATGAGAAGTAGTTATTGACTGAGATGTCACACGTGGCATCGTTGTCATCATTAGTTGTTTTATTACTACTAATAATATATTCATTAATTAGTGATCGATCATCAACACCCATACACCACACAGCGCGAAGAATGTGGCAATTTGAAGAAAGCCGTTGTTTGCTGCTGCCTGTTTTTTTTTTTTCCTTAGTCCCTTAGTAGACTTTTTTTTTTTTTTTTGTTCGGAGCTTTTCCGAACGTCCGAACATGTTT